ATAAAAATGATATGATAATATTCTGTTTCATCCCAGACAATAATGTTACTTAATTTTATTTAAACTGAATATTAGTATTTATCATACCTAATAAATATATACAAATACTATAAATATATATTGCTAAGACAGTCATTATTAGTCATTATTGTTATTATTAATACAGTTATTATGATTTCACGTTTCAAATCAAACAAAAATATTTATATAATAATATACACTTTTGTTCGTTTTCATCATTGGGTTTTAAACAATAATCTTTATTTATACTTTTACTCAGTCCAATCATTATAATATGTTTATATAAATAACTCACTTTACAATTTTTAGGTAGCAATTTGCATTATGTTACTTTCGTGTATATAATATGTTGATATATATTCTTAATCTCTTTGTAACTTCAATAATTCAGGTGCGATATTCAAACGATTGTCACGAGTTCCTAAAATAACTACGTAAATAGGAGTCAATGAAAATGAAATTTACATGGGCGTAAAGGTTAGTTATTGCGTGGATAACTTGCTCCACCTTATCAGTTTATCGCCGTATGGACTGTATATCTATATTCACATTATTCTTCACAGGAAAAATACCTCTACACTCCAGTTTCTTCTTCACAGGAAAAATACTTCTACACACCAGTTTCGTTAAAATGCTTTAAACACATTCAAATACACGTATATATTTGAATATTTTCCCACATACGTATTTGGACATGTCCTTGAAAAAATATTTAATTATAAATACTTTTGAATACGTTGAATCCCAAAATGTAATTAGTAATTTTGTTTATTACGCCGCGTAGGATATTTTAACTCATTAGCCAATACTTCTTTTCAATGCCACGAGGGTCTCAAAAACTTTCATCTTCTATAGTTTTTTTTTTTTTGTGGCCATTATTCTGCATTGCTGTATAATAAAGTGGTAAAATGGTTTCAATTTTGTTCAAAATGAACAAAACATGAATAACTGTGAATACAATTTTTGATTTCAAAAAATTATTCCCTTTAATATTTAAATTAACGATACTATATATTAATATCATCTAGATAAAAAATATAATAAAATGTGCACTATTAAATGTGAAAAAACAACTGGTAAAACATTAAACTTAGTAAAAAATCATACTTAATATTTAAAGTTCGAAAATAAATCGATGTGCCGGTGTGTATATTAATTGTTGTTACCATTTTAAAATATTGAAAACGGTCACGAATTCTACAACAGATGGTACCTAGGAATATATTTTGACAAGACAAGATATTATCTGCAGGTTGCTCCGGGTTAACGATGAACATTTGTAAAGATATATCTACGTTGAAAATCGTTACCGCATGGTTAATGGAATGTACATCGTTTAATGAAATCATCGGTTATAGGTACAATTATTTATTCAGACCATAGGCAGTTCGGTAAACAGACAGTGATTATCAAAACATTTTATACTGCGAATGATGTACACCGTTTGCGAATTTTATATTTTAAACAAGCTCATATTTTCTAATTTTGACCAGAGATGCGCGTTGTTTCAAATATAGCGTTGAGTGCAAAAACCAATTTCACCATAATAGCAGTGAGATGAGAAGAAATAAAGCATATTTTATTTCGGTGACAATTCTTCGGGGAAAGGATTTGGAATTTAGTTATCAAAGCTCCCCTTATAGGGGTTCTCCGATACCGAAAAAATGAGGTTATTGTAATAGTAGTATATATTTCTTTTTTTTTTTTATATATATATAGCGTTATCAAACCCTGTTTTAGATATCACACTCTCAAAATATATTACAGTAATTGAGTAAAATATTTGGTATTCGTTTCTATTCCTATAAATAAAAAAAAAATATGTTTCATACGTGAAATATGGTTTGAAAATAATGTTAAAACAGATACGATTGTACGATTATAACTGATATTGTCGTGAATATGACACGTTATGCATTATTAGTAAATCGCAATAAAATGAAATGCATTATTATTAATTTAAGATTAAAAATGAACTTGGAATACAATTTAAAATCGACAGGTTTGAAAGCAGTTTTATGTATACAAAGGTTTATTGTCTTAGCTGCGAAAAAAATATGCAAATATGAATATGTGTGTAATAATATAGTACCAATAAATATGCCACTTAAAAATATTAATATTTTAATAAATCTATCGTCGTCTGTCTTGAATACACGATTATTATACTTTATAAAACGACTTTCCGCGCCATTCCGAATGAGAAGTACACATTTACTTGCACTTCGATTGTTCCGGTTTCATTCAATAAATAGGAAATTAATCGTATGGGAGGAGAAGTTTAGTGAAAAACTAATGTTCCGTTTTTGCGGGTCAATTGTTGCCCTACATCGAGATTTTTTTTCAAAGCCAAATTGGCACCAGAACGCAAGAAATTATTTTCCTCCTCCTGGCCTAACCCAACCGCACGTTCTATAGCAGGGATGGTAAATCTACGGCACGCAAAAAGATTTTGTGGGCACGCGAAAATTTTTACTATTATACATTATATAATATATAATATTATAGGACGTATATTATAATATAAATAATTAACAAAGCAATATTATATGATATATTATTATAATGTACCTAAACTAATCTATTTATACTAATACATTAATTATACAATCAAATTATAATATAACAAAATATAATATTTTTTTCATGGCACGCTCTATATAAAAAAAAAAAAGGTAATTTTGGGCGTGCAGTGTTCAAAGGGTTTACTATTCCTGTTCTATAAATATTAAAACCAAATAATTAAACACGTTTTTATGAGAGGGGAGGGGGAAATTCTACTGATCATCACTTAGTGCTAAACTATGAAACATATAATTGTACTGCGTTTAACGGTCTTCGGTTACTGAACCACAAAACCACATATAAGTGGTATGTGCTGCGAGATATTTATTATCTTTAACAAGTGGTAAGGTATTTTAATATTCGTAATACATTTTAATAAGTATGAAAATTGTCCAAAAACGTTTACGTGGACACGTATTATATGATTTATTTAATCGTATGAAAGGGTACTCGACGATCTCGTATCGTGAAATATTCAGTGCAACTTCAGTATCCATTTGGAAAATACGTTTAAAGCTATCATCATACGACTCATTATGCTCGTAACATTTGCCCGTTTCCGGGAAGGAAAAAATCCATGCAATGTACTGGTGCCTTAAAAAATGTAATAATTTTAGTCATTAAAAAAAAAAAAAAAAACGATTATACTGTAATAATATTAACAAGCAAAACATTACGCGAATTGCACACACATTCAATACATTTACTTATTTATATATACAAAAGGTTTTTGTGAACACGGAAAGGAAACCACAAATATTGATGAAAATAACTTTGGTTGATGTGTGATTGTAATACTTACGCCATTCTAAATGTAAGTATGTCAATGTGGCATACAGCTTTTGCTTAGATCACCACTCGTTTCCATACGTTTTATTATTTGACAGTCGTTGCAGTTTCAAGGCTGAACTTTTTACACCGATGTGCATAATTTTCGTGGAAGATGTGTATTAACCTATTTCTGTTAACGATTCGCGTAGGTTTTTGGGTCTTATAACTGTGATCCTAACGAATAAAAAAACGTGAATTTTAATAAAAACAGAAAGAAAAAATAATGTTTAAGTAGTAGAATTTTAAATAATCAAATATTATGACCAAAATAATAAGATTATATTGTAATTAACTTAGTAATTACAATTGAACACAAATTTATAAATTCAATTTTGAAAATTGTATTGGATTATTCTGTATTATTATTAATTTATATTTTATATTAATCATTGACTGAAAACTTTTGTCTTCTGAAAATATGCCGCAGAAAGAATAAATAAATGTAATCCGGGTGGTCTAATCAAATTATTATAAAAAAAAAGAAAAAACATTTTTTCAGAGTTTTCAATAACCTAACTTAGACCTTTCCTGGTTTATTCAAAAATAGCCTTTATTTTTCTTCTTATTAATTTTTTTTTTTTTTATAATAAATATATAATATATTATTTGTTTTTTGGATTATCACTGTATGTCATTGATAATTTAGAAAAATAAAATAAAATAAGTATTTGCACAATAAATTTAAATTATTAATCAGTTTAATAGTTTGTAGTTGTACGTGCATTTCGTTATCAAAATTCAATCGCGTCTCATCGAAGCCGTGAATTTAAATTCGAATACAGTACTTTGTATGTACACCGCAACAATACTTGTCGTCGATCATGAGTTTTTAAACGCTGCATTGTTGTTCTTATAAATGTATCACGTGTCAAAGTGAACACTATTAATCGTACGCTCGTCCTCGCGAATCATTTCAGTTCACTTTCTGTAACGTACGTGCGTGTATGTAAACTAATAATTCGTACTGGTGTTTCGCTCATAAGCTCTACGTTCGGTATTGTTTCCCAAAGTACCTATACCCGTGTGACACAACGGAAGTGAACAGACACACACACACACACACACACACGCACATACATACGCACACAACTCTACTTCGTAGCGTACTATATCCGAACTAACGGCATCGGTTGGACTTGTCGAAATGTTGTTCTTAGTCCGCATGAACGCGGACGGTAATCATTATTCATTAACGGCACAATGCTACCGCTAGTACCATATTTAACACTTCGTCTGTAGACTTGTTTTTTTGGGATGTCGTTTGTGCACTGGGTCATAAATGGACGGACGTGATTTTAGTACTAAAAATACTTAGGAAAAATTTGAAATAATTTACATTTACTAATTGTGAGAATTTTTTTTTAAGATTCTGAAGTTTTTTTTATGATTTATTAACAATTATATTTTTTATAACATTTAAAAAATAACAGAATTGAAAAAAAAATGAATTTTTGGTTGTGCCATAAAAGACCCAATGTACGGACGAAAAGTTAGAACAATACCGGTGCTGTAGTGCTGCGCGTTATCGTAACGTATACAACGTATTCACACGGACAATCATAACACGATCGGTTTGTTCACAGTGCGTGGCCGTCTCCGGTTTGGGGTTTCGCAGAGGAAGTTACAAATGCGTGTGTCGCCGGGGCTATTACTTTCCCGCCACCAAGTACGTTGGCCATCCCGGCACGAGGTTTTTCAACGGGACCATAATCGAAGAGGAATACGAAAAACTGATGTTGGTAAGTGTTGCCAGTGTATGACTACGCTAACGTTTTGCGTGTGCTTAAACCGGATACTGTTATAGATTTCGTGCCGTTAAATTTGTTTATAAACCGACGATAGCCGTTTTCCCGTTCGAGAACCGTGTCGAAGGGGGTTTTATTTTTATTCATTTTTTTATCGTCGATATTTCATGACGACACTGTTATACAACTTAAAAAAATGCAAACATCATAATTCATTTTTTATTAACCGTATACTTTAAGTTAAGTGTGTTTCATATCGTGTTACATTTTCTGAACACTTCCCGGATAACATAATATATTAAGCACAAAAATTCCTGAAAATTTCTCCGGTTTTTTTTTTTTTATTTTTTTTTTTTTCATAGATGATTTATATTTTCACTATAAGTGTTCTAAGTTTTCCCATAATAAAAAAAAAAATGACCTTATAGTTTTTTTTATTTTTATTTTTTTTTTTAATAATCATAAGCTATTAGAACAACACAATTATTAATCATGAAATGATTACATTTAGACATTATTTTTGCAGTTTAGACATAATATTCAATTTGATCTTTATCTAATGTAAATAGCTACATACATATACAATTTAAAGATTACTTTATTTCCAATGACCATGTGTTAATAGAAGTGTACAAAAGTTATGATGTTATTAATTTATTGAAGCTAATTTTATTTTTATTTTCTTTAAATATTTTTAATTTTTGTCGTTATTTCTTTAGTGCCAAACTTCAATGCCTAATTCTTCTACGAAATAAGAAAGCGCTGCATTTATCATGTCTCGGTTTTTATAATTTTGGTTGTTTATATCCCACAGGCATCCATGGCTGCGATACATTTCTATAAACTTAATAATTTTAATTTAATATTAAATTAATTAATTAATTAAATTTAAGTTAATTTTTATCATATCAGTCGATTAAATTTGATTAAGTTTACCATAGTTTTTATTTTATTAGTTTACACTCAATTTGCAAAGTATTAAAAAAATAACAAAACAAATTAAATTATTATATACATTTAAAAAACCTCACAATATGAATATGAAGACATGATACTCGAATGCAATAATTGGTTTAGACGGATTCATACAAATTTCGAACGTTCAACTTAAAAAAAAAAAAAACTGTATGAAAAACCGTTTACATGTGTCGATAATTTATGAAGTAAGTATCGTACCAAATAATATCGACACGTGTAAACAAAAAAAACCCGAGTTTATTGCTTTCAAAAATCACCTTGCATTCTCGAAAAAAAACGTGCGAGGTTTTTTATCATGGTGTAAACAATCATGATACGATTCTCCAATATAAAATCTCGTATTCAACAATCGCATGCAAGTTGCGAGAAACACTTCCCGTCTAAATCCGCCTATATGCTTCCAAACTAATGTAAATACTACAAATGGTTAAAATGATATATAAAAACCCCAATACTTTCATACACGTTCATATAAATATAATATTCTAGTATTTTGAGTTATCAGCACTTAAGACAAAGGATATAGGTTGTACAATTATTTGTTTTCTTTTCCCATGGAACTCGTCTTATAGGACACATAAAAGCTCAAAAACTTTTACGCATCACTTATGTAGATTGAAAATTCAACACAGGTCTAAATAGTTTTTTAGTTTTTTACTGAGTAGCGAAAACCTTTGGCAGAGATATATAAGAAACTACTATATCAAGGTTATCTTACGTCAAGATGGGCGAAATAAAACGAATATCCTTCATGAGAATTTCCACACAATTTTAAATTCATTATTCACTTTTAGTATTTTTCTTGGAACTCATATACACAGTTTTTTTTAAATTTAATAAAATGCATTGTGTGTAAGTTATGCATGAAATCGACATGATTAATTTTAATCCTAGATTTTTTTTTTTTTTAGTTTAAATTTCTCTAACTAAATTAATAAAAATTCAATGAAAAAGAAGAAAATATGTTTTTAGATTATCAAATATATAACGGATATTCGATTTAATAAAAATATTTATAAGACTGACGTTGTAAAAAAATGCATTATTGTTGGCTTATTAATTTAATTTTTACTAATAGTTTGAAAATTAAAACTTTTTTATCTCTTCTTTTTTTTTTTTTTTTTCTATAAATGTATAAATAATGTAAAATAAATTAAATGGTATAATATTTCCCAATTGGAGTAATTTAATTTTCTCTAATTAAATATTAAGTAGTAATAGCTTCCACACTATAAAATAAACAAATTAAACTCCATTTTTTATTTACAACACTTTATCCCAATATAAAATAAATACAAATACTATTGGTCTAGTAATAGATAAATCCTTCACGTGGGTATTCCATTTGAATTAAAAAAAAAACTCAATTAACGCCTAAAGCTTTTTTGACCCAACTAAATAAAACTTCAAATATAAACACCAAGAAAACCCGTTATCCTTGTCAATATAGTAATATGGCATAGAGTTCTGTGGTTCGAATAGAAATGAAGTATAAACGTTTCAGTCCCCACACATTTGTACTATAAACAACGTATTTCCATTAAATATTTCCCACGAAATGCTCCACAAAAAATCAGATCTCCATACAGTAAGCGAAGTAAACAATCAATTTAAAATAAATATTTTTAAAATAGTCTCCACGGTCATTTAAACCTGCGTCGTCCCAAAAATTCACTCCGTTGTCTAAAATATAAATTAAGCACAGACCTTCTAATATAAATGAATTCCTATAATCTCAAGAGTTACGTCAATGGACGATTTTATATTCACATGTTAATTGCCACCAACTATTTTTTTTTAACTGTAAAAAATTAAGTGTGCTATTATAATTATTATTATTATTTAGTGTACAAATCAATTTTTTTTAATAAAAAAAAAAATATATACGATTGTGACTCTATGGTTCGATAAATGATATTCCTGTATTAGTATTTAAAACTTGAAAACAAATTATCATTGATCTATAAAAAACAATTCCAAACAGGTCCTTGCACCCGAATTAATCCGAACCCGTAACACCCCTAAAAACCTTTAAAAAATTCATACACCCGAACTCATATAACCCGAATGAATTATTTTTCAAAAAACTTGAATCAACCAAAACCTGAATAAAACATTTTTGGTAACCTGAAACCGGAATATTTTTTTTTTTTTTACGATTTTCCTGTGAAATATAATTTCGGATGTATTTCTTCTGGTTAGTTAAAACAATTGTATAATTAACTATACGTAAATTCAATAAATATTTTCTTGAAAATAAAATCTAATAAAATCGTTAATGTATTCTAATTAAACCAAACAATACTAAATTATTTCTTATAATATAAGTATAATATAATTTATAACTTCATTAGAATTTAAAATAAATCCAAATATAGCCAACAGAAGTATAAATATAGACATGGTAGTCCTGACATTCATGACCAAATACTAATAATAATAAGTAATAATCAATTCATATAGGAAATTAATAAATAATCAATCCTATAATATCTGATATTGTTTTCCAACTAACTGCCCGCGTTATTTTATTAAATTTAAGTAATGAATATCGTAATTCATGACTATATTAACTATTTACCATTTTCCCGGAAATTTACGAAATCATAATTTATATTGTATTTCTGTCTTTGCAGCTATAAGCCCATATGGCCTACCTATATGAGTTATTATTTTAGTTAACTTATATTCGTCTACTTGGCAAGCGGTGAATTGTATCTCGCCATATCTGATTGTATATTTTATTATAGTTATTTGTTTAATGGCTATTGTAGTGCTGCTGAGTAATTATTTTATAATTATCAATAATAGTATTTTCTGTTATTATTAAATCGTCGTACAATTTGTAAGTATATATTTTTTATATTAATATTTATATAGTTTTAAATTTCATAAAACTACAAAAGAAAGACTATTTAAATTTAAATTCAACATGTAATAATCAATCTTCAAATTGAAATATTTAAAATAATAAACAAATAAATTTATGGAAACTTATAAAACTCATGAACATTATGGATAACCATATTATAGATACATTATAGATTTATATAAGTGACAAGAACTCTAATAATTTTTTCCATAATAAAATAAATAGGTACCTAATTCATTTCCCATTATCTTAATTCTTGTGGTTTCTAGAAAAGGTTCTTAATAAATACTGTATTTTAATAAACCGAGTTTAGCCAAAAACAAATGTTGTGCATTCGCAATAGAAAATTATATTTTAAACCCGAATACATCCAGCACCTGAAACCTGAAACGCGAATAAATGATTCAGGTGCCAAGTCCTGATTCCAAGTGAAACAAGTAGGATGAATCAGTTAATATTATATAAATATGATCGATAAACTAAATTTTTCAGTAAGGTGGATTAGTGTATATAATAAATTTATATAATTAGCACAAATTCGATAAAAATATTTTGAAAATTATGAAACATTCATAAAATGTTAATGGAAGTATTCTATTTTATTGTCTAACGGAATAGTGTGTAACAAAATAATAGGTAGTGTAGCGTTCGAAATTCTATCTTGGTTATCGTAATTTTCACTTATCAAATATATCAACTAGACACCATTTCTAATCCCAAAGTTTTTATGATTTTGTTAATCGAAGTGAACCTGCATAAAAAAAAAAAAAAAAAAAAAACGTACACAAATACAGTTAAAGCAATATACTCCACGTTTCACTCAAAATAAAAATAATAATAGTAATAAAGAATTATTAATAATGTAGTTTTATGTTAATACACGTTTTTTGTTTGATTTCCGAAACAGGGCAAGCCAAACAACTACAGCCGGCACAGTATGTTCGAGTGCTTGCGCTGCGCCGAAGGATGTGACGAATGCACAGACTCGAGTCCTTGCATAGCATCATTAAACTGGGTACTCCGTACGATCATCCTAGTGCTCTCACTGGTCGTTATCGGATGCCTCCCACTGGTCGTGTTTTTCACGTGGAAATACGGACACTTGAAAGTAATTATATTTTACACCGCATTTCGTTCCGTCGATAAATCGAACACTATTTGCACAATATCATGTTAATATTATAATACGCACTTTGTAACGCGTTTTCCTTCTATATCATCCCCTCCACATTCACTTTCGGAAACTCTAAATCCGTGACGACGATATTTCGCAGCAACAGCAGCAGTTATCGAAGATCGATCGTTTTTCTATTGCATAGACGTTTCGTGTTGCCCACAATTGTTATGTTTTACTTTTTCGATTGTCTTCTACTACTGTTTGTAACCTCGTCGAGGAAATCCAACTATGTGTTCTAAAGGAAACGAAATCACCGAGTGTACAAGTAATGTACTGGTGGTGGTATGCGAACGTCACGATTTTCATAAACCAATACTTGGCAGTGTTAAAATGTAAAAAATTTACAATACCGATGTTTAGCCATTTTTGTACATCGCAGAAAGACACTGCTGCGACGGGCAATTAAGTTTCAGAACTGATCGAGGTTTATCGTTTGTCTTCTAAAATTTCACACGCATAATGTAGCATAGTACAATAAATAATAACAGTTTAACAGATTATCATACTATTGTTTAAAGGTCCTATCCGTATTGGGTATGGACGGGTTTAATATGCACACACCGATATATTGAGTATATACTTGTATATTGAATCGCAAAACCAATGATCAGTTTGTATTATAAGCCATTGGATATTCACCCAACTTTTAGTTAAGTAATTATTTGCCCGGGTAAAATTTAATGAAATATTTAATTGATAATAAAGTTATTTCTAAGGGATTTATTTCTTGGAAACTATTTACACTAAAATAATAATAATAATAATAATAAAGTTACTCAAACGTTTTCATATTTCCTGTTTAACAATTTGAATAAGGTACATTTTCCAGTCAACGGAATGGTTTAAAATATATATTATGTTTGAAATTAAAACGTGTTCATTGACTAATCGTATGAATTCAACTTTTTATCTCTTTAATTATTGTCGACAATTGCATTATAGCTGTACAATATTACAAGTACTCCTAAGAAATATAACACTTCTGCAAAGCAATATAATATAATAAGCTGTTCTCAAATATAATTTTTAGGTTTACTTTTTTTTTTCAAACTCTCCCCCGCAATTTTTTATTTCAATATGAAATTCTCAAATTTAAAGCAAAATATTTACAGCGACTTTCATTTCATAAACTATCGGTAAACTAATTATAAACTACTCCGGAAAGTACAAAGAAATGTGTTTTGAAATTTCAACACAACATTCTTATACTTCATTCTAATGTACATTTCTAATAACACTTTGTTTGAAAAATAAACTGTTACAATTTCGTATGAGAATTAATTGGCATAACATTTTATTTCCGTTTTCATTCAAAAATACAGGTGATTATTTTTTAACTATAACTAACAATATTTAACAACATTTATTATTATTATACGTTGCATTAAGAAAATAAAATATATGTTTAATTTTCCAATAATTATATTTAAATAATATCAACTCTATATTTTTCGGATATTATTTTTATATTATTCCCGCGTAATCATATTACAAAGCGAGAAGATATATTGAAAACACTTTTGTGATGCAAATCCGAAATTCATAGGAACTTTGTCATATTGCAAAAGCTTGATATAAAAATGTTATAAAAAAAATAAATAAAAAAAAAAAAACACTAAAAAAGTCTTCAATATTTTGATAGAAATAAGTGGGTTTATATAGAAGTTTAGAGATACATATTGACTATGTTTACGTCCAGACAAATTGTGCAAAGTCATCATGGTAAGAACTTCAAGAGTTTCGAGTACTTATTTGAATCGCGTAAGTTATTTCCAATAATGGTTAAAGAACGGTTGTTTATTCGTAGCGATTCATAAGATGAAATGATGGTTTTAACTTGAAATATCATACCATGAAGATATTTCTAATTTGTGTATTATACACATCACAATATAATATTGTGATGTGTTACATGTGCACTGCTCGGAATCTCTTAAAACGTTTTTATGGTTCATATCGTTCAAACAACCCGAACACAGTAGATATAAATTAACTATCTAAACAATTCTAATTATGCAAATCACCGTTCGTCTGCACATTAATATTAAGTACGAGCAGTGATTTTCCGAAAGGGGTGGACCGTGAAATTTATTTGGTAAAGTTTGATAATGTCGTAAATTTTATGTTACAGGTCGTCCGAGCGGCTAGTCCTGCGTTGCTCAGAGTGATCGCTCTAGGAGCGTTCTTTATTTATGCCACAGTAAGTCCAATATCGAATTAAATTTTAATAAATACATAAATGATTATTTTTTTTCACCATACATTAAATGTTATTTATTGACCATAGTGAACATGTTTTCAGATGATTGTAATGTACCCGAAACCAAATGTGATTACTTGTATTGCTCGTGTTTGGCTTCGGGAAATCGGATTCTCGCTCACCTACGGAGCTTTAATGCTTAAAACGTGGAGGTAAGTGCGTGCGCGTTGAAACGAATTCGATACGCCATAATACGCGCTGTGGTTTGATGTGCTACGCAGTTGAGAATTCACGGTGAGGGGGGGTAAATCCCCTCAAAATCAGAAAAATAAATATTAAAAATCAATCATTTTATGAATTAAGAAAAATATTTATTTTTTTTTTTTAAGTACAAGGGAAAGTATATAATTTATATTTTTATTCACACATGAAATTAGTAGTCTTAGATTTAAATGAATGTATTATATTACTTACTACTATATTAATTCATTATCAATCACTGATTGCAATGTTGTAAAAAATATCCTAAGAGAAACATTTTTCAATCCCCCCCCCCCAAAAAAAAAAAAAAAAAGAAGAAGGAAAATCCTGAATCCGCCACTGATGCTACGATTAAGTTATCGCAGCATTCGTTTGCCGTACATAATAGGTACCCATACCTGTATTCCGAATAGATTTAAGGCCCGTAACACTATATGGTATTAGGCGAAACTTGGACAACGGAAAAGCAATGCAATGTGAACCGTAAGTAAAACACGGCGTGGAGTATTGACATCTGCAATGTTGAATTTGAATAATCCTTACTGCATTTGACAGGCAACCACGCCTTCCTTGAGATAAGCGTTACCTAACATCAAAGATAGACGTTGATGTACCATCGTGTAACATCTCGTTCAATGCACAAGTAATTATGTACCTTTGGAAACATGATACAATATAGATATTATAGAATAATTATGCTTAATGAATCAAAGCTGAAGAATCAAAATGACTGCTCGCTCTTTCACTGTGGCTCAACATATTCTATATATTTTTCTTATTAAAGTTTAACAACACTACAAAATTTTGATCTGGAGGTGATCTGAACAAACGAATCGTTCAAAATATTTACACTCATAAAGTAAATTTTTCTGACCAATGTTAGAGAAAAATGTTCCATAAAAGTTAGGTGAAATCAGTTAATTTCAAGTAATTATTATTACGCATTCGTGCCGTGTTAGATAATTTAAGATTGTTTTATCAGACTTATCAGTTATACTATTAGAAACAGCTAAATATTTGATGAATCACAAATGGCACAACGACGTAAAACTAATAAAAAAAAATTAAAAAAATGTACTCAGTATTTACAATGATATACAATATCATGCTACCAAATCCTATATACCTGCTCAAATCATTTGTTTGCGAGTTGCAAATAACAAGAAATAAACTAAAATACATGGTTGAACTGAATAAATTATAAATAAATATACCATATTTGTACAGCTGAATTTGAAATAAAATGTAAGCTACAATTAATGAAACTACAATTGAACAAATTAAATTGTTATCAAAATAAATTAAACTAACAAACAGATTTTAATCACTGATGATTAATCATAATCAGTTGATCCGTAATTGAATTCATCGTGTTATTGATGAATTTCCGTCTTTTTTTTAAAAAATATTTTTCTTAATTATTTATATCAACTTATATTATTATGAAATTAGATACTATAAATATGCTCTAAATATAGTTGATTCAGCTTCACTAAAATGCTCGACTTGTATAAATACAAATGTCTATAATTTGGATTTTTCTGAATTATTAATTATAAAAGATACAAACGGACTAGCTTAATAAAATACAAACTTCATAGTTAATGCAATGTATGCAAAATATCTATATTAAGCGTTTAGAGGATTCCCTTGATGTTGATATAATGAAAAATATTAACGACTTATTAACGGTAGTCGAGGATATCAAATTATCTGTGTCCAAACACGAAATTTCTTTCCGAGACGTAAACGAAAAATTAGATTCTGTGCCTAAAGAGCTACGTTATTTGAGTAACTGTACATTATCACTTGAAAACAGAGCTGATTGAATTGAAAAAAGACTCTCCGATGTTGAAAATACAAATTTTTCTTCGGATATTATAAACAAAGTTTTTGAAAAACAGACTCATTCTTGGAGTTTAATTGTGTTCAATATTTCTGAACATAAAAATTCACAAAATAATGATTTCGTTTGTATCAAAGAAATGTTTGTTACTTTTCTGGTTAATTTGCAGCCAACTACAATATTTCGCTTGGGAAAAACAGTTGTTTTCCCATGTGGGCCACCCATTTTATTATTATATATTGTAGTATAATTAGTTGTGCCATTATAGGGCCAACATTGTTTATTTATTTATTATGTCATTTAAGCTACTTATTTATTTTATATTAATTTATATATTTATTATTATACAGTTCATTTATCAGTAATTTATTATTTGAATTTTTATACTTATTATTTTGGTGAAAGAGAACGTCTCTTATTATTAGAGACACTCCGTGCATCGACAATTTCTGATCTACCAATTTAAATTATTTTAAAAGTCATGTCTCAATTAATCTAGTTATACATATTAATTGATATAACAATGTTCTCTATTATATTTTATATTATAAAATATTAATTTTTATTCTAAAATGTTTAGTTTGTAAATAATCATACTTGATAATGCTCACGAATGTTATTCTATACACCTAGATATTATTAGTTTTATATTATATCCGTATATGTAATTGGGTACAAACCAATTTAATTTTCAAATAAATTAATAAATAACAAGTGAAATATTGAACGTTGACATCGGAAAACAAACATTTCAAATCAAATAAATTATAAATGTATTATGTACCATTACAGCTATCACGTATTCTCAACCACTGTAGGGTTCAAAATTTTTTTTTTACTAACATAAACTATGAAAATTACATAAATTGTCTGAATTCACCTTTATTCCATAACAGTGTATAAATATATCATTTTTAGATAAAGAATTTAATTGAGTATAACAGTAACTCTGACTAACTAACTATAAACGGTAACTCTTGACGGTAACGGTAATTTTTTTTCTTTGAAGATCAAATCAACACAAATCAAATATTATTTTTGTCTTACAATTTCAAAGATTCACTCATTAAGGGTGTATTCTAAGAATTAATATAATGTGTAATACCAATATTAATTTATTTCATTTGTAATTTCTTCTATTTATGACTTCACATCAGTTAACTTTCTATCAAATTATCGTGTTTATGAACTAAAACATGATTTTCTCAAGCAAAAAGGTTCATTGCATCAACAATGTATTTTATATGTCATACAAGTGCATTGCGTCCTTCCAAAATGACGAACAATATAATTATCGAAGCCATTAATTTCGTTGTTATAACAATTCACAAATATTATGGTATACCCAAGATTTTTACATTAGTTTTACAAAAATCTACTTAAATTGATTAAATTCCTGCACTTAATATAAGAGAGTGATAAAAATCGTTTAAAAATCAATATTTTAATATAATAACACTTCATGGGTAAGCTTGGTTAAGAAAGTCTATCAGACATTGAAAAAAATTCGATTTAATTGAAAATAATATACTTATATAAAATACCGAACAATCTACATTTACTACATATATTGTTCTTTTTATGTTCAAAATTCATCTTGATTCGGAACATAAATATAATACTTTGAACATTTGATTTATCCATATATTATATAATATACCAAAATAATATACTCATAAAAGATAAAAATTTCAATTTTAACCATTTTAAATATTATATCCTATTTTATTACCTTATATACTGTAATAAACCAAAAAAAAAAGAAAGGCATAAGAATGAGATGTAGAAGTAAGGAAGTGGAAGAGGGAATGAGGAGGAGATAGAGATAGGGTATGTATGTAGGTAGTGAGTTAAGGTTTAGTTGCCTTCATCCTTGTTTAACGGAGAGCTTTCGGGGTTACAAAGGTTCGAGAACCGATCAGTGCAACAAAATAGTTTTGTAAACTTAATAAAATAACACTTACTTGTTCTGTAATAGATAAGTCGATAATAATGTCGATGAGCTGACCACTTATGACAACTGTAGGAATAAAGTGAGGTTAAAATTGGTTGACGCAAATACAGTATTTAGAGAGTTGATGATAGACACTATTCGACACTCACGTAGAAAACTCAAATGGAGAAGTAAAATAATTGCATGTAGTAGTAGTTGGTCACAAGAAGCTCCTCGAAAGATCCCGGCGGTCAGTGCTTACCACCAAGGGTTCATTACGCATGCATCGGCGGACTATGGGCGAAAAACAAGGGAGAGGGTTGTGTGGCCATGTTATTCAGGGAAGTATTGAGGGATAGAACTTGGACCGGTCTTTCGAGGGTTTAATTTAATACGTCATTAGTGTATCGTTGGGTTAGATCTCTATTATTATAATTGTTTTGTTTGTGCAATCATCGAAAAAATCGTTATTTATTAGTTTTTAACATGTTGTATAATCGAATAGTGTACATCATTACAATTTATTTAAGACTTGATATATATTCGAATACCGTAGAATGGGGTATCATTGGCCTAGATTTCACTTTTTTTTATATATTTTGGTAAATACTTGGAATATTTTTATGAAAGTTGATTACCTTATATTTTTTTCTTCTTAAATAAGAATTAACTAATTTATATTATGTCATTTTGGAATTTTCGAAACTTGAATACCAAAATATAAATTAAAAAAAAAAAAAAAAACATTAGAACGTATAAAATATTAATTTTAAAATTTAAGTAAAAAAAATAAATGAAAAAATATATACATTTTTCTTTAAATGTATTTCTATTATTATAATTAGATAAAGGTCGCTGTGTATTACGATAAAACGCGTTTGATTATTAATTATGCACATTTCGTGTGTGAGTGCACAACATAGCGATACTTTTACGATCGATTGTCAATAATTTAATAGTTATGAAATTGATATACATCGTTCAATGTAATTCGTTACTCCGATATGTACACGCTATAAGGTAAATTTAATATTATGATTACAACTGAGACTACTAGGTTATACGATTTCAATGTAATATACATAATAATATTAAATCGCGTGTGTCGCCGATTAATGGTATAAGTATTTTTTTGGTCGGTTTCGTGATAATCGAATAAACGCGCGAAAAAT